ATTATGGTTTTGACCATTCTGTGTTAACAAATGGCTTTTGGCCTGTCTGGGTTTCATCTGATTAATTTTAAAATCTATCTGACCTCTGACTCGCTCCAAGTCATTTTATAGATTAATTTATTAAATGCCAGGCTTCCAAGTGTTGTTCTCATAGTAGTCGTTGAACTACACCATTTTTTAAACACGGCAATGCAGTGTTTTTTGCTTTTTTGCCAATAGTTTGTAGGTTTGTTGTTTGCTGAATGAGAGGATTACATTTTTGCAGACAGGAGATGTAGCATTTCTTTTCTCTCTTCACTCCAGGCCTGATTTGGATCTAAATTAAAATCGCTCAAAAGCAAAAAGAATAAGTGAAAATACTTTTGTAATAGGTTGGACCGAAACATCTGTTTTGCGTTTTGAAAGAGCTCCGCAAGAGACTGTGAGAATTTGCTTTACTAATTGCATTAAGGAGTAGCGTTAGGAAGGCCAGAGTGTACAAGCCCAAAGTGGGATTTAGCTAGGACACCCTGCTCAGAACATGCCTACTCTTATGCAAGAAAAAAGCCTTGGCATCTTTAATGACCAAGCAGTCAAGACCTTGGTTTAAGGTCTTACTAAAAGGCAGCACCTCCTACAGCACAGCTTCTCAAGTCACCATACTGGGGCATGGTTTGGAAATTCTGGTCCAGGGGGGGTAGAGTGCCACCTACTGGTCAGCTGACACTTCTTATAGCTGCAACCTGGTTTTCCTTGGAGGTCTCCGTTCCGGTAGTGACCAGGCTTAATCCTTCTGAGCTTCTAAAATCTGACAAGATCACGCTGCAAGGTCGTAAATCTGCTCTTACCAGCATAGTCTACAAAGTACAAGGAGAAACGTGTTATATGGTAGTAGAGAACTGAATTGTACAGGTTTCTGTGTGTTACAGTTTAACAGCCCAATTTCTTCCTGTATACTACAGAGCTGAACTACTTCTCATACACCGATGTCATTAATGCCCTTTTTCTCCTAGTTAATCCACTTCAACTGTGAAGACAGCTTAACAGGTCAACTCACTTCTTATTTTATGGTACGCAGACTTAAGATATGAATTTTGCTTTGCTCAGTTTTTTTTTTTAATCTGGGATTTCTTTTCAGGGCTTCTGATCAGTATTTGTCTTGATTATCAATCATTTGGAAGAAAGAAATCTGCAGAAACTATTGCTATTTTTTGTAGGAAAAACTCAAAACTCAGTATGAGAGTGTTTAATATGTGTGTTCCCAGGGATGAAGAACACGTATTTGCTTTTCCACAAAATTACACGAAACAGTTCCAGCTGAATAATGAGCTACCACAGAGCTGAAGTATGAAATCTGTACTGCCCTATTTTTGACAGATTCAGGATTTCTGCCAAGTCAGAATCTCTGGCTCACCGTTTCATCCTGTTCGACATTCTCCCATCTTCCCCAGTGTGGGCAGTAGGCACAGTGGTAAGACTAGAGATCTGTGGGCGTGTCAGCAAACTGAACAGCTGCTTGCCTTCAGCATGAAGAGCAGCTTCAGAAATACCTGGAGCACATTACTACCAATGCTTTTTAAAACCCACAGACTTCAGAGACGGCTCTTGTATTCGGGACTTTTCATGAGGAGACTTCTGATGCAACTTCAAACAAAATGATATCTGACAATTATAAAATGAGGTTCAATGTCTTGGTTTAAAACACTTCAGTTGTTTTACAAATGGCAGAAATGTACCGGAAGATGTGTTATGCAAAATTGCTTTTATGCTTACTCCTGTGTCTAATCCTCTTCCTTTCCTGAATTTCAGAAAACTCTCATTGGCTAACCTAACATCTTCCTCATCCTCAGCACAGTTGCAGTCAATCTCACCTTCTCTGACTCGTTTACTATTTATGAAGAAAGGAGCATTCTGCCACTTCATGTTACCGGTGTTCAGATCAAACCTGAAGTTATTACTTTGCCTTTGTGTTACACGTGTACTGGAAAGTTCACATCAGAGCCACATGTTTAGCGGATGCCTTTGAAAATACTGAAAATGCACACTCAGGAACAGTCACTTTTCTAAAGGTTGTAATTTTCATTATTCAGTCGTGTTGACAAAAAGCAAAACTGAAACTGATAGATGACTAAGGTGTTGCCAGGCAAGGAGTTGACACATGCCATGCTTTCTGTTTATACCCTTCCTCTGGAATTGGCATTTCCAAAGGCTGTTCTACTTGTTGACTTACCGGTAAATGGACAAAATAAAAAAAGGCCATGAATATCAGTACGTTTATAACATTACTTTATTAACCCTTTACAATTTCTTGCATTAGGAATTATCTTGTCGCATACCCCAGCTTGCTCATGAGACACACAGACAGGGAGAGAGCCTGGGGTCAGAGCACAGGATAAGCCATTGTACGGCGCCCCTGGAGCAGTTGGGGTTAAGGGCCTTGCTCAGGAACCCAACGGAGTAGGATTCCTCTGCCGGCTGCGGGATTTGGACCGGCAACCTTCCAGCCACAGGCGCAGATCCTTAGCCACAGAGCCACCGCTCCGGCCCAATATCAAATTTTTAGTGTTTAGCTTCCAAATTATCATGCTTCCAGTACACCTCTTAAGATGTTCAGTCAGCCTGCTAATTGACGGCAAATCTATCATAATACAGAAAGTTAAAATGTCATCCAAGTTTTAAATTAGCTCCTTGAAGAAATGAGAAAAATCTGTGATACTCTGGAAAGGCTTTGTTCTCTGCTTAAGCTGTGAACATACTGTACCTGCTGAGTAAATCCTGGGATGTTTGAAAATAATTAGAAAAAGTTAAGCAAAGCATTAGCATATCCATCCAGTATCGTATCGTATTTCTGCAATAGCAGGTGTATTAGTTGACTTTATTTAATGCCTTTTGTTACTTAAATGCATTAAAGAGTTTCTTTATGAATATAAAAATGAATTTCACTAGGAAATCTGTGCATAAGTAAAGCCCATCATTAGTATTTTGAAAGGCAGGTAGGCATTTAAATAAGCATCAGCAGACTTATGATCAACCATGAAATATATTAACATTCATTTTGAAGATGTTGTATAGTTACATTACGTAAATATTTGAAATCACAGTTATTAGTGTCTGCCTTCCAAATACCAAATTGATAGTGAAAATATCAAATTGATAGTGATCCTATATACAGTATAACCAGTCAATATATAGACTGCTTTTCCCCCAGTGGGCTTAAGAACTGAGATACATTAAATACTTCACTGTACTTTTTTTTGTCCATGGCACATTTTCAATACTCATTGATCTGTCATTTTCTAAATTTGGTCTAGAAGTGAAAAGCATTCCTGATTCAAAAGCCTGTGGCAAAGACAAAGGCTGTATTCTCTAGTTGGGCTAATTACACAGGGGGTAAAAACCTAATCTATTATTTCAGTACAGATTGGCCTCGAGGAAATTATTGATGGCCAGACATTTTACATGAACTAATAGAGGTGAAGTATGTTTGATCAAAATGCCTATCTTAAGATAACTGTGACTTAATGCTGCTAATAATTATGAGATATATTATGTAAAAATAGACTTTTTGTAATTATTTTGCAAATCTTTATATCTCCAAAAGATGTATATTCAGCTTATATCCTCTCCTGAATTTGCTAGTTTTTAATTAGTATTTACTATGAAGTGGGAAAAACTCCTTACTAAGCAAGAATACTTTTAATAGATTTTATGTAAATTTTTAGTGCTTAACATTCAACACCCTGTTATTGATGTGTTGATATTGATTCCGGTGAGCTGTAACTCTTCTACTGTAAAAAAAAAGAATGATCAGGTTTGTGTGCACATTTCACTGCTAAGGGTGCTTATACAGTATGCATGATCTTCTGACAGTACTGTATGTTCATTATATTATCATATATTCAGAATAGTTCTGGCGTGGATTTTCTAAATGGTAACAATTTCAGCTTTTGTTGTAAAGAAATTCTGTAAATTCTATAAATTCTGTCCTTGACATGTTTAATCTTCAACTGTTCAGATAAATGCAGCATACCAAGATCACGAGGGGTTCAGAAAAGAAGGCTAATCAAAATGTGAGATTATAACTCACAAAAGTTATGATTTAAGACTTTTTGGAATGTACTTCCCTTTTATTTGGTGTGAATTTGATTAATTTGTATGTTTTACATAATTTGTATGTTACTTGTCACTAATATGCAGAGTTGATGAATGGGTGAATTTCTCCTGTTAAAATTCCTTGTACGTAAGGACCTGTGGTTTCCTTAATCATCACTGGAATGCATAAAACCAGACCAAGACAAAAGACTTCACCCAAAACAATTTTTTTTCTCTATTTAGCTTTCAAGCTGTAGCTCTAATTTGGATAAAGCTTAGACTCATTGTTTTCACTATTGTATACAAATCGGAACATGGCTTAAAGTACTGTAACAGGGTTATCTTGATTAAATTTTAATTAGGCAATGTTACAATGTGTCTGTAAAGGACTGAAGTGTTATAACTAGTTTGGAAGTTTTGATGTACATGACATTAACTTGGGTGATCTGTGTTTCTAATCTAACTACGGTACACGTTAAATGTTTTGGTGAAATTACAATGACTTCATGGGCATATATAGGATTATCAAGGAATTGTGTAAAGAAAACAGAAAAATTCATTTTTCATGTGTAGTGCAGTGTTGAGAGTTGGCATACTCCAAAGTTCCAAGTTCCTTGATATACATAACGAGGCCAAATTGAGTTTACTTCTTTGTTTTGTTTATTGTTTATTATTTACTGAGAGGAGAAGAGAGGTTTTATTCGTTTTGGTGGTGTTAATTATTAGCATTGCATGATCAGAAGCATGACGATGAGGACAGTTTACGCCTTGGATAAGCCAAGTTCTCTTACAGACTGAAGCTCTGGATCTGCAGTGTTAGTTCTGATCCAGCAAAAAATACTACTATGATATTAAATGTACGAAAACATTTCCTTTTTCCCCCAATAAGGCTCCTCCTACAGTATGTTGAAATTCCTTTTTTTTTTCAGGTACGGAATTCGCCCGGAAAATGTGATCATCTACGGACAGAGTATTGGAACAGTACCGTCTGTGGATCTTGCTTCACGCTACGAGAGTGCTGCTGTCATTCTTCACTCTCCTCTGACCTCAGGAATGCGGGTAGCTTTTCCAGACACAAAGAAGACCTATTGTTTTGATGCATTTCCAAAGTAAGGATTGTTTCATTTATTTTGTATTGTAGTGTTTGGGCTTTGTGGTGTTGGTCATTGATTCTGCTGCATTCATTGTTTTCTGAATAGGGTGTGACGGGCAATGTCACTTGGTTAAGGATGTGATATCGATGCAAAATACATGCCCAATTATTAAAACTTGAAATAATTTAAACAAAGACAGTTCTGTTTCTGCAGTTCCTAACCTTACTGCATTTTGCTGAATATATTAAATATTTGAAACTAACATTGTGATCTTTTTGATTCTGCACTTTAGTAACTTTTGTATCCTTGACTAACTTCTATTCCAACTTCTATACCACAAGTTCGGTATTGTAGTAAAAGCTGACGTATTTTCCGATAACTGATTCGACCTTTATTTTTCCTTAGTGAATAAAAAAAACAATATTACACTCATTAGCTAGTGAGATATGGAAACAACAGCTTTTTTAAAAGCCAATTAAAGAGAATAGGAATCAAATCAACATGCTGAAAAGACATCATTTCTGTGATCTCATGATGTCTTAAAATCATTCAGGTAAAAATAAATCAAAATGGTTAAATATATAAACAGCTGAGTAACAATTGCCAAAAAGTAGGACTTGATCTCAATATTTTCAATGGAGAGCTTATGTACAGTGGAACAGTGTCAAAGGTCTCTATAGCTTGGAACCATTTCTCAGTTGCAATAAATGTATACTAACAACACAAACAATTTAAATATAATTTATTGCCAGAAATACAACAAAACTATTTCATTATGGTCTTTAACATTCCTGTGGAAACTGCCCTCATTACAGATACATCACAAACTTGGTTTGAACAGGAAGGTGACATTATTTTACTAAACTACCAAACCCAAATAACAAATATTGTTTGCAAATGAAGCATAAGTACCCCGTGTATTTTTAACGCACACAGCATAAAATGAAGATCTAGTGAGTGGCAGCAAAGAATGTGTTTAAAACCTAGATTTCTTAAAGTTATTGCTTGCTTTTGCAGTTTGTGTTGCATAACAGATCCCTATTTTTGAATATACCTTTACTATTAATCGTATGCCAGAAAATTAGTCGAATATACTGGATAAACTTGTAAATATGTTATGGTCTGACTTCATCTTCTTCCCTTCACGGTTTCATTCATTTTTGTTTGGTTTCCTGTTTTACTTTGGATAACTTCTATTTTAAACATTTTTTTCTTTATAGGGCCTGTTTACCTTCAATGGACTTTGCTTCCATTCTCTTATCTCTCTGATTAAGCAAGAATCTTTTTTTCCTCAGTGCTTTTTGAAATCTCACATTGGATGTCATAGCAGTAACTTGTAAGCCTGCTTTATGCATGCTGTGCATGCAGCATAATGAAATAACTCTTTAAACAGAATGAAATGAAATGTTCACAAAACCAACCCGAAAAGGGATTCAAGAGTAGATTCGGAAGGTCTTCCTAATGGCAAATGGGAACATGCACATAGAGCAAAAAGATTTTGTGATTTCCAAGCCATTGAATGTGATAGGCATTCAAGATAAGCAGTCTCTAGCTCCTTCTATAGTGAACTTAATATATCATCTTTTGGTAACAGTGTTCTAATTATGAATGGGATAAATGGGTGTATTATATATACTCTGCCGCATCTCATGAACATATGATACTGTACATAACAGAAGTTGTATTTAGCATATAAACATATTCATTAAGAAGCTAAGGTAAGAAACGCCTCAGATTGTGCCATTGTGGTATTGTAGTCAGCAGTGGTATGGTTGCCTCGTCGTTTCACAGTCACCACAGCAAATAAATCCTGATTTATGTCATCTCATGTGAAACCAGCTATACCAGGCTACTGTCCCCTTGCTTGTAACATCTATGTGTACTCAACTCTTATTTCTGTACTGGATTAAAATATCCAGTACGAAGGTATTAAATAAAAAGGTATTTTCTTAACAAATAACATTAGCTATAATGATTTTAAGATTACTGGAATATTATGATGATTCCACTGCAATAGTGTTCTATTTATTCACAACATTTTATTTTTTACAGATTGAACACAGCTATAAGATGTGAACAAAAATAACTTATTTTAAATGTTGTATTGGTATTGCAAATTTTGCACATTTGCTCAAAACCTCAACCACTTTTTAAAATTATGTAACAAGCACGAAGCTTTATTTTTGTATTTCATTTATCTCAAGTAGGTAAAACATGAAGATCTTTATCAGTTGTAATAGTTGTCTTGCATGTATTCAACAGGCTGTACAACTGATCTTATGTTTGTTGAAATGTTGTTAAGTTGCTGATGTGATCAGGAGAGATGAGAGGTAATAGCAATACTCTCTTACTATAACAGTTTCTAATCCTCTTCCCTTCGCTGTGTTGTGTTTAATAATTATAATAATAATTGCTTACACTTATATAGCACTTTTCTAGACACTCCACTCAAAGCACTTTACAGGTAATGGGGACTCCCCTCCACCACCACCAATGTGCAGCCCCACCTGGATGATGCGACGGCAGCCATAGTGCGCCAGAACGCTCAACACACACCAGCTATCAGTGGGAAGGAGAGCAGATTAATGAAGCCAGTTCATAGATGGGGATTATTTGGCCAGGATGCCGGGGTTACACCCCTACTCTTTTCGAGAAACGCCCTGGGATTTTTCATTACCACAGAGAGTCAGGACCTCGGTTTTACGTCTCATCCGAAGGACGGCGCCTGTTTTCCAGTATAGTGTCCCCATCAGTATACTGGGGCATTAGGACCCACATGGACCGCAGGATGAGCGCACCCTGCTGACCCTACTAACACCTCGTCCAGCAGCAACCTTAGTTTTGTACTGACCAGGCTCACACCTGCTGAGCTTCAGTGGGCTGCCAGTTGTGAGTTGCAGAGTGATATGGCTGCTGGCTGTTTACAGGAAAACTATTCTATCTAATTTATTTTGAGTGATGGTTTCACTGTAGTGAGGGTTAATGTTGAAAGCATCTGAATAACCCCTAAATTTCCCTTGATTTGTCTTTACACAGCATTGACAAAATTTCTAAGATCACCTCCCCGGTGCTGATTATCCACGGGACGGAGGACGAGGTCATCGACTTCTCGCATGGCCTGGCCCTGTACGAGCGCTGCCAGAGACCCGTGGAGCCCCTGTGGGTGGAGGGCGCCGGTCACAACGACGTGGAGCTGTACGGGCAGTATCTCGAGAGATTGAAACAGTTTGTCGCCCACGAGCTGGTTAATTTGTGAAAGGACTCCGCAACTCAGCAACTGTGAATTTTTTGTTGTTCTCATGTTTGAACTGCACGTAATCACGCTAAGTCAGAAAAGATGTAAACCGGAGGATTCTGTCTGCATATCACGTTCCCTGCCTTTTAGACAGAGAACGTACAGGTTATGATTTGTAAACATTTGTAATGAAGGTTTTCATGCCAGTATTAAAAAAAAAATGAAATCCTCTAACACTATCATTTGGTCAGTCTGATTTCTTAACTAGATTCTTTATGGTTATCACTTTTTTATTGATTAAACTGTAAATGTACAACATTTTAATGAGTACTGTATGAAATGTAAATTCAGAAATTTGCTGTGCAAGTGTTGCCAAATGTTCAGCATATCAGAAAGCAAATTTATATGGAAACATTTTTAGAACATCTCCAAGAATCTGTATAATGTTTTTTCAGAGATACTGTAGAACTGTAAAAAGAAAAAATGTTTTCTTATTCAGTCAGCTGAAGGTTTTGTTTTATTTTTCAGACCACTCGTAAATGCTGGATAAATTTAAAACTCTTTTAGCATTTTCAGAGAAATTGTTTTTCTAGTAATTTTTGTCTATATACTGTAGATATTGCCTGACAGCCAACTTAGTTTTTTTTTTCCTGTTGCCTGTTATTAAATTATTAGGAAGCAATTTAGGAAGTCTGAATGAAGAAGACTGTGTACTAATGCTTTAAAAAATATTCTAATTAGATATGGCCAAATGCACACAGTCAGCTGAGTGTAAATGAAACGCTTCATAATATACTGTTTACTACGTAGATTGTAATGGAGGAATTTTTTCATGGTTTGGACTTGTAAATAATGTTTGTACTTGACATTTTTATTTTCCTCCGCGTTCTTGTGTATTATGCATACATATTTGTATATCCATTTTCTTCTAAATGGGGTGGGTAGCATATTAACAATTTATCCTGACCAATGTAGTTATTTTTATTTTGTGTAAAATGCCTTTCCTGACTGAAGGGACTTGACTTATATATGAAACGGTAATAATAGGAAATAAAATGTATTTGAGAAAAAAAATGTGCAACGACCATCAGTCCACAAGATCACACTACTGTATTAATAAGGAACAATTAGAGGCTAATACCACACTGAAAGATGGAAAATGTACAGTGTTATGGCCATGGAGCCGCCTTCTTTGTGTGAGGGAGACACAAGAAAGGAATGGCCGTGTTAGAGAGGCTGTAGCAGATGAGTGTCAAGCCGAGTGGAAATCTCGGCGGTGAATTTTAAGATAATTAATCTAAGTGATTTCTTAAAAAACAAGCGGCCACTGAGAGCTGGTGGAAGGATTCATGGATTATCTTGGCCTCTGATGCTTTTGTGGCTGGGAGAAGCGGAATGGGGAGTCTGCACACACCTGTGATATCCATTGCCATGCACATACTGTACATCGTACCCCTGACCGTTTCAAGATCGCTTACAGGGCACCGTTTATCTTCTAGCAAACTCTTACTGCATCTCTCACAGTGCCGGTTTTTATGTTGGCAACAGAGGATGGCGACTTCAGAATTTCAGGGAACATGTCAGGACAATGAGAATCGGAGAGCTCTCCAGTCTGACTGATGGCAGGAATACTGAAGGGCTCATCATTATGAGGAGTTTCCTCTACCCAGTCATTAAGCATCATATTCATCTCGCTAAAAGTGCACAAATTAAATTAAAAAAATATAATTCAATTTAAGGACAATATTATAATTTTCTCAAAGTATCCCAGTGAATTTGGAGATCCTGTATATGGACACTTAATGCCTTAATCCCTGCAGAGAAGGGTGGTGTCTCTGCCTTATTTCCTTACTGCAGTCGGGCTGTTAAATATTTAATCTGACATCTGAAAAATGGCACCTGTTCACACTTGCACCCCCACCTCCCCACAAAACAGGAAAGTGGGAATAACAGAATTGACCTCATAGGAAAATAATGATTGATCCAAAAAGTAAAGTATCATGGTACAGTATACCTGGTAACTGTGGTATACTGCTTAAATTATCCAATTTATATTGTTCTCAGTACAGGTGAAATAACATTCAGAGTTTATTTCTTTTTGGTCAACTATACCAGTTCTGATTTACTATTCTCAGATGTTCTTCTTTGCTGTTTCATCCATGATTTAACTTGAACAGGCAGTTTTGACATTCTAATGATGTCTGCAGTACGGCCGCCAACTTGGCATGATTCCCAAGCGCTGTACAGTAAAACCTTTACAAAGGTTTAGACACCTTGGAGTCTGTGTGAATGGGAAAGTCAAAATGAGGGACTTAATACCTTTTGGGGAAAATCGGGTATGGTTCCACAGCTCGTGAAACACGCATTTCTGTAGTAATATTTCTGTTATATCTGTTAGCTAGTTCAGAAATAGTATTTACTGGCAGTATGTTTAATGAAAATACATTGCATTCTTATAGCTTACTCTGTATGAGTTATTTTTTCATTCTCATGCATGCATGTTCTTTACTTTCTACATCTTGGACCATCTCAGGACCAAGACTTAGACACCCTGGTCATGAACAGGTAGTGTCAGAAAGAGCGCTAAAACAAATTCTGTGTAAGAAAAGGTAAAACCATTCTTAAAAACAAAAGCCTACATCCAAGACAAAACTGCTCTAAACGGACGCTAAGGCAGAAGGAATCGTTCTCCTTGTAAATATAAAATACATTTTGGCCTGTTGGACACCACAAAAAGAAAATAATCTTTTCATAAATCAAAGAACAATCACCTGCATAAGACTTGACATGGGACATTTTTCTATCGTTAAAGTCAGTCACTTCAGTTCTCAATTATCCAGTATGTTCTCATGTCTTTCAAGAAGAGCACGTGAAACTCTGGACATGTCCCCTGTAAAATGTGGCGCTCATTCACAATCTAATGTGGGTTTATTGTGGAAGGTAGTGTTTCTGATTCTGATTCTATAAATATTGAGCGGGTCTCCTAGTCTAGCTGTTCGTTTTTTTAACTTGTGATTCCCTTACTTTATTTGCATATTTGCACCAATGACTCGAAGGTTTAGGATATGAGGCCTTCAATACAATCTCTCCCTTATCTATACTGTATTGAACTGATGATTAGAATACATACTGGTATCCAATAATCCACATAGGCATAATTTGTAATAGTATACAAAAAGTGCATTCCAAATCACAGCATCATAGCACTTTCTGTTCAGGTTCAACATTAGCAGAGCAATTCCATAATGATACGATCTTGCATTTTTTCCATACAGAATCCAAGGCACTATCATGTGATTTTGGCACTGATGAAGATGCATTACTATGTATGGTCTTTATTAGTCATCAATGTCGAATGGCAATAAACCGTAGCACTTTCTGAGGTCATGCAATCTGGGCACACACCAGAGACAGCTGTTACGCAAAAGTTCAATGAATTAGTAGTATTTTGTAGATTAGCCCTTGTGAGTATTTTGAGTAATCTGCAGAGGGAACAGTACTTCCACTTTCCAGCCACAGATATAAACATCGGAAACAAAGTGTTTCAGCAGCACCTCAGCACCTTGTTACCTGTGTTTCTGATATAAACATCTCTCACTACCACCTTGTTACCTGCACTTCAGGGATAGTGTCTGGGTTGATCCGTCCATGAAAAGCATCTTTCGGATAACGGATAGAATAAGGATATTAGAACTAAATATTATAATCCCTTTATCCAAGAACAGCCCACTGCCAAGATCATTTCTCAGTTTTCTACTTGTGTTCTGCAAACAAGCTCCTGAAAATTACACTGGGTGTAAAGTTCATGACAGAAGAAAGAACCGTGGTCTCTCTGAAAGAGCCACTCCAGTGTGGAAACAAGCCTTTCGCATCATCAGAGCTCAGCGTGGTAACTGATGTCAATCTTGTAGCTAGTTTTGTTTTGTGGAACTGAGGATGAATTTATTGTACGAAATAATCAAATGCAATATTCAGTGAGTGAGTGCTGCTGTTCGACTCTTGACGTTGAAAATATCATTATGTGCCCTGTAGTGCAGGAACTCAGACTTCATGGTTACAAATGCAAACCGCAACATTTAAATAACTGAATTTAATTCTCAAGAGTCTAATCTCCTGATTAGACTCACCAGTTTGAATACATAACATCGCCATATGTTAACAAATGAATGAACACCTATTTTTTTAAAGAGGAAAGTATGCTTTACTGAATGCTTGTTCCAAGATTCTAAGATTTGCCTGCCTAAAACATAAACGCATCGGGCTCCCCCTGGTGGCTAACACGCGATATCACATCAGGAAATCTACAATTGGCTCGGCTCCGTTCACTATCTCCTGGTCTAGTCTAATCTAATCTCTTGAAATAAACATTTTCCTGAATGTCAGAGAAGCAGATATTTAATTATATTTTTATTTATTTAAGATAAAGCCATCAATTTACCTTTTTTACAGGAATGATGGTCAATTATGTCACGTGTGTGAAATGGACAATCGCAATGAAATGAAACCTACGAGAGACGATTAAACTGTTGATGTATTTGAAGTCACCCACCCTTTTAAAAAAAAGAAACTTCAGAACATAATTTGCTTCCATTTTTACACTGATTATGAAAATTCCAACTTAAGAGAAATCACAGCTGGAATTACTCCTAGAAATCGGTCACAGCAGCGAGTTGTGTTTCGTTCACAACCCCTCAATTGATTATCCGCCACCTGCGCTCTTCCTTCCGAAGGCACCTCCAGACTCTTCTCACACGTCCCAGGGTACTGGCGAAGCCTTCTTCCGCAATCCCTCCAGTCGAAGATTATTTGTGTACTGCGAGATGACTATATATGTGGCTCCAAAATGGATGACGAGGACGATTCATTTACAAGCGAAAAACCTGTAGATTTGGCCGCAACCTCGTTCGGTCTCCTGTTGTCCGGGTGGTTTGGAAAAGCAGAAGATTCCTCCTCCATCTTTGCCG